CCACTGATTCCTATTTAGCCGTACTGAAGGTCCTGGGCTATGTCCAGGCCTAGGGCCTTTGCATATGCTGTTCTCTCTGCATGGAAATCTCTTTTTCTTCCTAAACCTCTGTTACTTCTTCTGATCCTTTAGATTTATGTCCCTCTCTTACTTCCTCGGGGAAGCCTGCCTAATCCCCACACCAGCTTGGCTCCCCTGGTTAAGCCTACGCTCTGTACCAGGCACTGCCCTTTGACACTGCCCGGCTTCCAGGAAACCACTCCAGCGGTAGCACTCTGAGAAAGTTCCCCACTTCTGTGCTTTTGCTCTTGTAATCCTCCACCTGTGATCTCCTCTGTCTCATCTTCGTCTACTCGGCTCCTTCTTATGATTCATAGCTCAGTCTAAACACGACTCTCCCTGGGCCCCTAATTTAAAGGCGCATTACCCTCTGCATGACACTTGTAACTGACATTTTTTTTCTTAGTCATTCAATTGTTTCGCTAGCATGTATGCCCCAGTAAAGGAAGGGTCCTTGTCTAATTTGCCCGTTCCCATATCACCAGAGCCTGGCACACTGCTTACCACATGGTAGGAACTCAAATATTTTTTGAGTGAATTAGCAAATTTGCTAATAGTGCTTCAACAGCACTATTAGCTGTTAGACTCTGACCTCTGCGATGACTGGGGTCAGGCTTGTCAGTTTGCTGTCGTGCCTCTGTTGCCTAAGACAGAGCCAAGCAGGTACTGGGGGTACCATGAATGCCTGTTGGGCATCTGAAAGGCGTTCTGAGGTTGAGTTCCCACTGCTACAAATGTCAGTGCGAGTGGTTAACTCGGGAGGTGACCCAGTAGAGGAGGAGAAGTGAGACGGGGAAGGGAAGGAAGCCACACAGGGTGTGTCCGCGAGTGGGTGGGGAACTGAGGTGCAGGGTGTGGGTGTGGAACACACCTTGGAGCTATCCCCAAGGGGGGCCAGAGGAGCTGGGTGTGTGTGTACCACCCCCATCCAGGGCTGCTGGGGCTGGAGGGGGTAACACCCTGGAACTTCTGGCCTGTCCTGTGCCAGGGGCTGGGCCACTTGGGCAGCCAGAGGATGCCCTCAGGCAAAGACAGCTGTTGGAAACTGTTAGGCCTGATCATCCTGCCCGGGAATGAGCCCTGTCTGCGACAGAGACTGACCAAGTGAGTGAACTGAAGTCAGGGAGAGGTGTTGCAGAGGACGGCAGGATGGGTATGGGGTGGTCAGGCAAGAGGCAAAAACAGAAATGTTGATGCCAGCTTTTACGGCCACATCTGGAGCAGCACAGGGGTCTTAGGAGGGAGGGGTCCTTCCTGGGAGCTGTGACTCATCCAAGGGGGGGCCTGGAAGGATCCCGGGCTCAGAGTCCAGGCTCAAAGCCATTGCAATTACTTGGCAATTCATTCCCGGTTTCTCAGAGGTAACAGCCAAAGCAGGAAGGGAGAGTGTTGCTGCCATTTAAAAGGCTTAGAACATTCCGGAAAGAGACCTAAATTTAATAGTGGAAGAGAAGCAGGAGGGGAAGTGGTTGAAGAGTTTGGAAGGCAGCCAGGAATCCTGCATCCTCTTCACAAGCCTCAAGGGTGCGTGGGCGTGTCCGGGCGAGTCCCCTCAGCCCCTTGGCAGCCCCTGTGGATGTAGGAGTTGGGGATAATCCAGGCCTTTTCCTTGTCCCAGGACCTTGTTTTGGGCTATTCCACCACCTCTTAATGCCTGCAACCAAGGAGAAGGAAAGAAACGCACAGAGGAGAAAACGCGAAGCAACTCGAGTCAAGGATCAGTGGGCGAGCCAATTTCTAACCAGGGCTGACCTGCCCTAGTCCCGCCCTGTGGGACCAGCGATGACCCTTCCCCCCTCCGTGGTTTCCGTGGCCATCCCCCCTGCGTCGCACACTTCAGCAAGTGTGCTGTGTCCAGACCGACTGTCCTAATGCTGCTTTAACCCTATACTGCCCTGTCCCTTGAGGTCCTCTTCCCCTAGAGGCCGTGCCACAGAGGGGTTAAGGACCCCTCCTCTGGGGCCAGATGGCCTGGGTTCAAACCCTGGCTGTGCCAGGTGCTCAGTGTTCCCCAGCCAGGCCCAGTTCCTCCCACCCTCCCTCGGTGAGGGCATCTTCCAGTCATGACTGTGAGCCCGTATCCCTCCATTCCTCTGGGGCCCGGTGAAGACCCCGCGGTCTGTCCCAGCACTGAGGAAAACACTGTCTATGTTCAACTCGTGCAGAGATGGTTGTCCTCTCCAACGAGGTCCCTTCCCAAAGAATTTTCAAGGGCAATTTGACTACTCACAATTTTTGTCTTCGGCACAACTTTAGAATCTTCCCTGCCATATACCAGGTGACTCAGATCAGCGTGGTTTCTCTAAGGGTCATCCCAGGGACACCAGCTTGGGAATTACCTGGGCTGGGGATGGGGGAAGAGGGAGCTTGTAGAATGCAGTTCCTTGGGCCTGGGCCCACATTAACTCCCTTCATTTGCTTCTCTCAAAACCCCTGCGAGTGGTTGTATGATCGACCCCCTTTTAGGGCAGATGAAACTGAGGCTCAGAGAGGTTGAGGAACGTGCCCCAGGTGACGTAGGTAAACGTGACAGAGCGTGTCTTCTACTGCTGCAGCCCACGCCCTTGCCACAGGCTCACCGCGGATCCTGGCTGCTCACACCAAAACGAGCCCATGGGGTGGCAGCCCACGACACAAGCTCGGGAGGTCGACTTCTGTCTCTTCTGTGGTCTAGCACAGGCAACAGTTTCATAAATAGTTCTAACAAAGCTGTCTTCACAGCCAGCCCTTTGCACTGCAAAAAGTCTGATTTCAGAAACTGTGTCCCCAGGCTTCATCATTTCCCTCTTTTTTCTCAATTCTTTAGCATTTCACTTGCAGGGGACGTGCTCAAACACTTCATGTATTCGTTCAACAAATATTTATTGGGAACCTTCCATGTGCCAGGTGCTGTACAAGGTGCTGGAATGGACTGCCTAAAGGCCTTGACTTTATGAAGCTTCTATACAGAAAATCAAAAAGGGAAAATATCAGGGAGAGATAGGTGCTAGCTACATTAGGCAGATGATGGGGTTTAGGACATGCTACTCCAGAATGTGGCACCTTGGCATTTGAGAAAATTGAGAAGCAGGAAGGCCTCTCTGCCCTTCCCCTGCCCTTCTCCCCTGAAGCAGGCCATGGAAGAATTCTCTTACCTACCTCTGAAGTAGGTCATGAGAGCCTCACATGGGCAGTGCCCACCCTATAGCCAGAGGGAAGGAAAGTCCCAGACACAGGGACGCGGAGAAGAATCTGAACAAACAGGCCTTGCTAACTGCCCCCTGTTTATTACCGTCGGATCACACCCCTTTGTCCAATCATGCTGCTCCACAGCTAGCCGCCTGGTCATCAAACTCAGCATAAAAACACATTTCTCTGTGTCTTTGAGGTCTTCGTTTCTGAAGGCTCCCGTGTCATATAAAACTTATATTAAATAAATTTGCATGCTTTTCTCTTGTTAATCTGTCTTTTTTTAACAGGGATCTCAGCCATAAACCCAGAGATGGGTAAGGAAAGAAATCCTTCCTCCTCTACACAAGGTAAGGAGGATTGGATGTGAGGTGGAGAGGTGTCATTTATTTTAACTCTAAAAGATAGAATTTTTATAAAGCATGAGCTCAGTGCCATCATCACAGTTAAAAAGTAACCACAATTCCTTAATCTGCCCTAAGAGTCCATCAGTGTTCACACCTCCTCAGCGTTTTACACATTTTGTTTGTTTCCATGCTATGAACCTTGTTTAGACACAGATTCAAACAAACCTCTTTCAGTCGTTAGGTTCCCATCCATTTTCTTTTTTTTTTTTTTTTTTTTAAAGGAAGATAATCTAATTTAATTGCTTCAGAAGTTACAACCCAAAGGGAACAGTCAGTAGCAGCACTGATTGAGTTGTGTCATCTCCTTTCTCCCCAACCCATCCCCCCACCATCACCGGCCTGAAGATGAAATAGCAGGGACTGGCATTTCACCGATATGAAGGTCAACTACATATAACCTGTCCCACAATACCCCACACAGTTATCTATTTTTATCTTAAAAATACTGATATACAAAGTCTCCTTTAGCAGCAAACAGACCTATGAACACAAGGTCTTCTATGCTAGGAAAGTATTACTCTTTGAAATGGGGCTATATTTATAAATTTTATTTTCTATCCCAAAATACATATAAATGAAAACCTGCTCTTCAAATGCAGGGAGGCCTCTGCCTAACATTGTCATACGAAAATCAGTATCGGCTCTTTAACACACAATTTATATATGTACATACATACACACTATATGTAAGCAGTCAATACTCTTCTACTTACACATATTCCTCTGGTGGAAAACTGGGAAATTCCCCTGCTTTCCAGCCTTGGGAAGGTAAATACAACCTCTGAACAATTTTTTTAAAGATGAAATGTTTAGAAATATGTAAACAAAACAACTTCCTTTAGACATATACACACGTTGTTAGAATAACATAAAGACCCTGCCACATAAGTGACAGTGTATTTCTCAAAGAAAAAAGGAGATAACATTTGAGTAAAAACACAAAATTGAAGAACAGTTAATATGATCAAAATTGTTATGTACATGCTCCATGGAGAAATTAGGGATTCTCTCATGGAGAACAGATCCACAACCCATTTCACTCTTCTGTGACATTAAATCAGCACCTGTTGGTAGTCGCCATGATCCTTCTGTACAGTCTGTGGGCTTAAGCAGGTACTTTAGCATCTGTTTAAGTTAAACAGTCAATAATGTTGATTGGCTGCAGTGAATTCCCACCCCAAAAAACTAATTGCAAAATCAACTTATATATGACTCAAGAGCTCAACCAGGTCAAAGCTTTGGTATATAGTGAAGACTGTTTCGGTGATAACCAAAGCTTAGTCAGATTCTCTGCTCAGGGGTTTGCCCCCAAAACAAAAACACCTGGTCCACAAAGCGTAACAACTATATAAATAAAGTTAACTGTACAAAGAGAACAAGCCATAATTCCCTCTTAACCAAGGGTTTACAGTTTCCTAGGCAGTTCTGAAAGCACCAGCTAAATCCACAACACTTCTATTAAAACACGGATGTGCTGTAATTGGTGAGACTGTTCTGAAAACAAATGTCCCCAGGCATGTGGCTGATGTGCCCCAGAAAAAAGTTCAACAAAACATAAGTCAGTGTTCATAAATTGTAACATAAGCTGTTCAGCAACAGAGGAAAGACTTAAGGCATTAAGAGGCATTACAGAGAGCCCCACAGTGCTGAGTCAAAGCCTTCCAAGAAGGAAAAGGTGTCTCAATAATTTAGGTTCTTAGTTTGCTAGCTGTCAGACACTTCCTCCTCCTCTTCATCATCCTCATCTTCTTTCCTGTCTATTTCAGAAGTGTCTGACGACTCATGGAGCAAGACGTATTCTCTGCTACTGAACCCAAATTTGAGTACATCCTTTTCTTTAAGTTCATAGTATCTCTGTGGCTCAATACGTTTGTTGTTCAAGAAGGTTCCATTGCCTGAGCCAAGGTCAATGATGTAGGGTTTCACCTTTCGACCAACTGTGCCATCAGCACGATTATATTCCACAAGCCGATATTGAAAGACCGCATGCTGCTTTGAACAAGACGGATGATCAATTGGAATGTCTGCAATGCGGCGGTGTCGACCCAGGAGGTACGCACTTTGTCGATGGATGTACATTATTGGAAGCACTTCATCGTTTTTAAATGGGTAGAGACGCCACCGCTTTTTGGGGATACGTGCTTCTGGGGGCTCACTATATTTAATGACTACACCTCGGAAGGTGTTGGTGTCCTCAAGAAGTGCCCCAGAAAGTTCAAAGCTTGGTTTTTCTTTAGCGGGCACCTCTTTTTCTTTGTTGTTGCCACCGGGCCGAGGAACCAACTCCTGAGACTCATTACCACCGCCACTAACTTCGTCCTTCTGGCGATGCTCCCGGCGTCTGGCATTATAAAACTCCCGCTCTTCTTCTTGAGCCTGTAGCTTCTGAATGTCTCGATCCCGTCCCAGAGCCTGCCCACTGCCAGGCCTCTCATTAGATTTTCTTCTTTGGTGGGAATAGCCCCTGTGTCTGTCCCGGTCACTGTTCCTAGCTCTCCTGTGTTCCTGCTCTGATGGTTCCCGGTACTGCCGATCCTCACGTCCTCTCCGGGGATGATCCTCACGTTCCTGCTTCACTTTGACTGTTGAGTGGTGAGGACTTCGGCTTCTCTTACTCCGAGGAGATTTGCTTCTTCTCCCTGAGGACTTGTTTTTCTTTTTGGCTGGGGACCGGCTAACTCCTCGGGCTCGGTTTCCGCGGTGGCCGGGGCGGCCCGGCTCGCCTGCCAGCGGGGACGAGCTACCGCCAGAGAAGTCTGGACGGCGGTGGGCCGGAGGCGCGGCTTCCGGGCTGAGGCGCTCCTGCTTCACCACCAGCGCCGCCGCCGCCGCCGCCGCCACGTCCTCGTCCCGGTGCCTTCGTCGGCTCCCTCTCTCCCGCTCACTCTTCACCGCCTCCATTCTGCGATGTATCAGAGCAAGAGAAAAGAGGTCCGTTGAGCTCCTCTAGCCGAAGGAAATGACGATTTGTCCCCTGGACTTCCGCTTCCAGCGTGCTTGCTCTCCCAGAAATCCTTGCGTCACCGAGGTTAAACACGTGACGACCCCCTAGTGGGCGGGTCCGCAGTGACCAGCTTCGGGTGGCGGGGGTTTTGAGTTTTAAAAGCAAACTTCTAGGAAAAAGCAACCCTCTCAGGGCTGTTTATTGCCACTGCTGGGGCTCAGAAAGCAAAATATGGCGCGTTAATATGCTGACCTGAAGAAGCGTCAAGGTCTCTCTGACCTCTCCCGTGCACACCCTCATCCATTTTCTGTCTTTGTTTTTGTTCCTTGCAGGTTTTTGTCGAAAGGACCAGGTGATTTGCCCTCCAGAATTTCCCGCAGTTTGGATGGTGTGGATTGCACCCCCGTGCTGTCATTGAATCTGTTGGGGGGCGCTGTCTTATGCAGGATGTGACGCGTGAGCAGAGGCCTGAACGGACACAGTGAGGGAGCCGTGCAGAAATCCGAGAGGAAGAGGGTCCACTTCGGCTTCCGCTGTTCCTTAGCTTGATTGCTCACAGTCACGACCTCTGAAACCCTATTTTTTTGCATGTAAGTGCCCCCCTCATTACAACTAACCCAGCTGCCTTCATCAATCTGCAGGCATATGTGGGTGGTTAAAAGCGCTTGGCCAAATTAGAAACAGCCCAAATATCTGTCAACTGAACAAATCTACCAAGCGCAGTATATTTCTACAATGGAATACTACTCAGCAACGAAAAATGAATAAACTACTGATTCAGGCAGTACACACATGGGCAAATCTCAAAAACATTATGTTGAGTGAAAGGGGCTAGATACACAATAGCACACACATATGCTGCCACCTATGACATTGAAGAATAGGCAACACTAATCTATGGTGAGAGAAACCAGGATGGTATTTTCTTTGGGAGTGATAGTGATCGGGAAGGGGCACAAGGGAACCTTTTAGAACGATGGGGATGTTCCAGAACTTGACCTAGGTGGTGATTGCAGTGATGTGCACATAAATAACAATTCCTTACGCTTAAGATGTGTGTATCTTCCTTTATGTAAATTATACATCAGTTTTTAAAAATAAAAATAAGAATCGGGTGGACTTTGGATTTAGGCAGACGCAGCCACTAGTTACCTATTTAACCTTTATCAATTCTCCTAATCGCTTAGGACCTCAGTTTCTTCAGTATAAAATGGGATTAATACAAGCCCCTTCATTGGTATTGCATGCAAAACACTTAACACAGTGCCTGGCACATAGGAATCCCTAGAAAAATTAGCTTTAATTGCATTCTTACTAATATCTACCCGGCTCCCTAACCCTCGGCAAACTCACAACGATGAAACCTGAAACCAGCGGACTCGGCCTTCATGTTAATTCCGTGTAGCACGTCTCTGTTGGGCGGACCAAAAGACTCACATTTGTAACTTGTTCGTTAATGATATGCACATTACCTCCTACTGCTATTCTTTTAACATGCTGCTTTTATTTGGTCTAATTGGACCGCAGCGTGGTTAATCACAACACTTTGTGGGGAGTTTGGAGAAGCGAATGGGTTTCTCGTATGTGTTGGGCGGCATCGCTGCCAGCTCCTGCCTGGTCCCCCCGGAGCCTGGAGACAAGAGAGTTATTGGGAAGACATCCTGCTTATCTGGAATCCTTTCTCAGAGGACCGTCTTGCATCTTGACAAAGGTGCTGCCAAAAACACTTGCAACTGGTTTTTTCAGAAATTGCAGTTTATTGGGCAAGGCAGGTGTGGGAAGTAATCTCAAAATTGACTTCTTCCTATCCATGTCCTTTCTTTGTTCTTGAGTCTTCCAGTTTTTTTTTTTTTCTTTTTTAAGTGACAGGTCTTTTGTCGTGTTTGGATCCACAGTCTGAGTTTTGCTGCCCCCGTCTCTGCTGGGCTGAATTCCCACTTTTCTTTGGATAATGGCTCCCTTGGTGACATCTTGGTCCAATTCTGGAACTTTTCAGCCACTTTTAGTTACTAGAAAAAAACTCATTCCAAGAAGTAAGACTTAGTATTTTTGTTTAAAATTTTTATTTTTATAACTATTTAAGTATAAGAGAAATACAGAAAAGTACACGAGTGTACAGTTCAATGAATTTGCATAAAATGAACACATCTGTGTAAACTCCATTCAGATCAAGAAACAAAACAAGATCAAAATGTTACACACCTGCCCATCATCATTACCTCTCGCAAGGTAGCCACTGCCTTGGCTTCTAACACCATAGATCTGTTTTGTTTTGTTTCATTTGTTAACCTGATAGGAATGGAATCAAATAATGCGTCCACCTGACCTCAGATTGCCGGCACCTGTATCTCTTTGCTTCTTTGCCTGAGGGCCTTCTCTGAGAACTGGAGCCCACCTTGCCCCTGCAAGCAGCCGGCTGAAATTTACCAGGAAATTAACACCCTCCAAGACCAACCTGCAATCAATGGTGAATAAATCCCCCAGTCCCCGCGAGGGGCATCTCTGAGGGCATGGTCTCTCTTGACTCTAGGAGAGCCCCATGGGATTAAGTTCCAGCTGCTTATGGGGACATCTCGCTTTACAATATACTCTTTCAGAGGCTGCCTTCTATCCCCTGTCTCACTTCCCCATTTCTCCTACCTGTGTTTCCCAGAATTCCCTCCCAAATGAGCTAATAGCAGTAAACTCCTTATCTCAGGGCCTGCTTCTGGGGGAGCTCAAACTAAGACAACCCATAATTGTCTTACAATCCCCCTTGCTTGGCTTCAGAAATAAGAACCCCCCTCCCCTTCCCAATGAGGTTAGCATAGCTTTAAAAAAAAAAGAGGAGGAGGAGGAAGATGAGAAGAAGTAAAAGGAGAAGAAAAAGAAGAGGAATAAAGAGATGAAGGAGAGGAAGGAGGAGAATTATACTCTACTCTGTGCAAGGCCACGGGACTCCCCCTCTCATTTTGTTCGTATGAGCCGCCAGTGAGTGGAAAGGCAGTAACGATGACTAGTTCTGGCACCTCCTTGGGCCTGAGGACAGGTGCTGCCTCCCTGCTCACCCTGCCCGCCACGGTGCTGCAGAAATCTCCCCAGCTTTGGGCTGCTGTCCGCTAGTCTGAGACAAGGGGAGGAAACCCCACTTGGTCTCCTGTTACATCTTTTCAACGCTGCTTTAGCATCCAGTCTTCAGGCTTCTCCCAGACACCAAGGGTTTACATACTCATTTTTCTTCATCTTCCACTTGGGACCCCTCGCTGGGGCTCAGATTTTTCTAGCCTGCCCCTTCCCAGTCCTGGATGGCTGCCTCCTAAAAACACAACAGCCCTTGGCACACCTGGCAGAGGAAGGAGCTGCAAGTCTCCCCACTAGTGGTCTCTGCTGCGATTTCAGAGACAAGCTCCCATTGTGAGATTTCTGTGTCAGAGACTCACACCAAACTCCTGAGTGTTCCTCTCGTTGTCAGGCGGGAGAGACCAAGGCTCTAACATACTCAGGGTTCATGTTCATAACTGTCTCCACAAGGCACTCTTGGAGACTAATTTGCTCACTGACGTGGCAGATTTTCAGTCTGAGTTGATTTGCAGGTGGCTGGGACCACAGCTTTGGGCAGAACCCTCCCCAGCGTCCTTGACACAGGGGCCAAGCTTGGGCCTCTGGGGTTCAAGGATCCCCTGAAAACTCTTTGCAAAATTTCATGTGTATTTGCTCGCCTGCATTGTTCCGAGGAATAGATTCATAGCTTTCTAAAACTTTTCAAAGAGGCCTATGACGCTGTATCTTAAGAACTCCCTATTAGGAGGAGAGCTGATCATTTGAAAAGCGAGGAGCCCTCCCAGGCTCTGGTGATCCCACCTCCACTTTGCCAGATAGACACAGGTAACCCAATTATGGCCAATCAGGGACTGCCTCTGGGCCATGGTGCACCCCATCAAACAAACCCAACTCCACAGCCCTTGAGGAGCAACGAGAGGCACCTCCATGAGGACTGGAAGGGGTGGCAAAGATTGAGTCACACTCCATGACGTGTGCTACCTTTCCTCTTTACACATTTCTTTTCCCAAATTCTCACTCACGGAGGCAACGGCTCTCCCCAAATCTCCTCTCTCTGCTTCTTCCTAAAGACCCTCTCTCGCCCCTTTCTCTCACGTCATCCATCTCTTTTTCCCAAGCAGCTTTGAGCCCTTCCTGATCAGCTCTCCTTTGCCTCTCTCAGCCTCTTGCCATTCTCCTATCCGCCCATAAACTTGGGCAGCTCAAGGAAGGGGCTATGGAGCCAAGCAACACCAACGTAGAAGTCTCTGGAGGGTAACAGAGGCCAGACAGCTCCAAAACTCTGCCCGGATAGTTTTGTTCATATCACACACTCACTGGGTAGATAGAAATGAAAGCAAGGAAATAGGTACCTTAGAAACTGAAACTGTATTATGAAAAATTGAACTAGGGCTACTTGAACTGACATAGATATTGAAGATATATCGAACAGGGAGGAGATTAGAACATATTGAAAATTGGTACTTCCTTAAGAATGCGCCACCTAGGACACAAATTTAAGGAGGCTCTCACTGTCAGGGGTGTGGCAAATGGCGACCCTGCACTAGTGTGAACCTGAGAGTGGGTACCTCCTTAAATTTTGCACCCTTGTCCTGATAGTAAAAGAATAAAGCAGAATGGTCTCACACATTGGTAGTATGATCTCGCATGTAAACGCTATACATGTGTTTTAAATACATAGAAAGATCTGGAGGGATCACACCCAGATAATGTGCATAATGGTTCATTCTGGAGAGTGGGACTTGGGGGGAGTGAGGGAGCTTCACTCTTCACTTTACCCATTTCTGTACTGTTCGAAATTTCAAAATAACAATCATACACGGCTTTGGTAATTTCAGACAAACCAGAAAAATACATAGAGTAATAAACTGTGTTACATGTCAAAGGGCCTACGAAAAAAAATTAAACAAAACAGATTGTCGGGGTTTTCTTCTTGTGGTCAGATGCAAATGGTGA